CCATTTCACAGTTGAAAAATGGTTGTTCTGGGTGCTCAGGAGTCAGTGCACAGTGCAGAGTCAGCTTTTCCAGCTGGGCTGTCCTTCTTACAATGACTTCCCCTTTCCTGATCTGTAGGGCAGGAACCCGGTCGACGGCCCCCCAGTGTCAGTTGCCTCTGAGTGTGGAGGTGGCCCTGGTGAACTGGAGGCTTCTCCTCCAGGGCTGGCTTCATTTAGCAGGTGACCTAGGATGCTCCAGCCCCCTGGGTGGGGCTGCCACTCAAGGGCTTGGTTCCATGTGTGGGAACGTGGGGCTCAGCTGGGGCTGTGCTGGGGTCTTCTTGGTTCTCCTTCATCACCCACATCCACCCTCCCTGCCTGGTCCTAGGTACTGCCACCTGTTGGCAAGTCTGAGCAGGCCTGGGGAAGGCAGGTGGGCAGAGCAGGACCCCGGAGCCCGAAGCACTGAGTGATGCAAGGGCCAGATGGGCTGAGGAAGCTGGGACAGGCACCTGGCTGGAACCACCTGAGCTCCCTCCAGCATCCCTGAACTGCGCTGGCATCCTGGACTCTCAGGGGGGATGGCGTCAGGGCTGCTGCTGCTGTGTGAGCAGTGCTGAGGACAGGATTTCAGGCTGTCAATGCTGTCTCTGTCACCACCCCCCTTATGGTCAACTTTATACCCAGAGGCCTGACTCCTTGTGACCACCCAGGCCAGTACCGGGTCCTGAAGCCAGGTGTCTCTAACACATCGATGCTGTGCCCCCCACATGCCAGCAAAATAGGCAGGCAGGCTCTGGAGAGGAGCGGCGTGGGCTGGCTGCAGCCCTTGTGTCCAGGGGCTTTGTACCGTGTGTGTGGCCTTTGCCCTCCCCAGTTGGTGGTGCTCCGGCTTAGGGCCCTGATGTTGGCTGTGTGCCTGGAGGGGTTCCTAGGCATTGGGCTGGGTGCAGCTGATATGGTCTCTTGCAGGGCAGCTGTGAGTTGGTCCAGTCTCCCTCCTGCAGCCTCATCTTCCACATCTGTAAAGTAGTTTGAGTGACCAAGGCTGCTCGGCTGGACCTTACCTGCAGGCTGAGGCCCCCTTCTGGGAGTCCCAGTTTCGTTCTCTCTACTTTTCATGCTGTGTGTGTGCCTCCAGAACCTTTTATAGATCGATTATTTCAGAAGTCTTTTAGCCAAAGGGATGAGTGGTCCCTTCATGATGAGGGTAAGAGTGGCCAGTGGGACTGCTGAGATTCTGCCACCTCTGCGGTCCTCAGAGGAGGAGGTCACCACCTTGTGGCCTCTGGTAGGGGTGGGTAGTGGAGGAGCCTGGAGTCCTAGAAGGAAAATGGCCTTCTAGGCCACAGGAGCCACACACATGGCCACATGTGGCTCCTGTGCTCAAAGGTGGGGTGGGAGGTGACCAAGAAGCAGCAGCCCAGGGGTTACCTGTGACCTTTCCACATCCATGCCCCAGCCTCTATCTGCACCTGCTCGTGTTGGGCACTGGGCAGGGCTCTGGACACAGGCTGGCTCGAGCCCCATGGGAGGTTTCCAGGAAAGAACAGAACAACATATGGTATGACACCTGTGTATTCTGTGGAAGCCCCTGTGTCAAGAGCAGGCCCCAGGGCGCACAGTGAAGTCTCTGGAAATGTGTGAATGGGTAACATAGGAGTAGATGAATGAATGCATCTTCTGACCCTGGGGCGGGTGAGGGCACTCCCATTTGCAGATGGGACTGTCCATTCGATGGACCCAACTGGAAACCAGAGGGCAAAGGGGCACTTGATGTAGCTCCCAGGGTAGAGAGCAGGGTGCAGTTGGGAACAGCTACATAGGACAGTTGAGGATACCCTGCACAGCCGCCTTTTCCTGGAAGGCCTTGGAGTTCTGAAACGTGTCTCTCACCTGAGAGGGAATGGTCCTGTTCCCTGGACTGCTGGGCACCCAGGAAATGTGTTCACGTGGAAGACCTCGAATTTCAGTGCCATTCATCTCCCATCCTTCCTCATGTGCGTGTCTTACTAAGGGATGGCATCAATACAGTGGACCACTGAGAATTGAAAGAACTTGATCAGTGTAAGACAGCAGGAGCACTGACATAAGCCTGAGACCGGACATACCAGTGTCCTGCTGTCCAATTCCTGTGAGGGCAAACTGCTGCCTATTTTTACTAGCAGGAACAGAAGTGCGGATGGGGGACTCTGGCACCTGGCATGCACTTTTTGACCCAGAAAATGCTGTGTTGACTTCCTCCAGTAAATATATCGCATCCGGAACATTACCACTTAAGTTTCCAACAACCTCCTCTTGTTCTCCAACATTCCAGCTGTTTTCTTTTTTCCTTTGGTATCAGCTCTACAGATGAGCTATATGGAGATACAGTAGGATTCCCACCCTGGCATCTTTCATATTTACCCTATTTGTTTGCCAAGATGTGCCTTCTTTCCTGAAGACCTAAGTTTCCATCTGGTGTCCTTTTCCCCAGAGCAGCCTTTAGTTACCTTGTGCGGATCTGCTGGTAATGACCTGGTCTTTGTTTGGCCTGTGTTCTTGAAGGATAATTTCTGCTGCCTGTAGAATTCTGAGCGGGCAGCGTCAGTTCTCTACAGCTGCGCTTCCACTGTTTTTTGGCCTCTGTTGCTCATGTTTAGAAGTGAGCAATATGTTGTTGTTCCCCAGGATGTGGTTTCTTGCTGTTCTCTGGCTGCTTTCATGATTTTCTCTTTGACTTTCAGGAGCTTAACTCTGGCATGTGGGTTTCTTTGTATTTGTCCTGCTCGGGGTTCACTGAGCTTCTTGAATCTATAAATTTGTGTCTTCCATCACATTTGGCTTTTTTGTTTTTTTTTTTTTTGTGATGTCACCCCAGTTGGAGTACAGTGGTGCAATCATGGCTCACTGCAACCTCCACCTTCTGGGTTCAGGTGATCCTCCTGCCTCAGCCTCCCAAGTAGCTTGGATTACAGCCATGCTAATTTTTGTATTTTGGATTACAGCCATGCTAATTTTGTAATTTTTGTACAACCTGGCTAATTTTTGTATTTTTGGTAGAAATGGGGTTTCACCATGTTGGCCAGGCTGGTCTAAAACTCCTGGTCGCAAGTGAACCACCTGTCCCAGCCTCCCGTAGTACTAGGATCGAAGGTGTGAGCCACTGCACCCGGTCTAAATTGTGATACATTTGGCCATTATTTCTTTTTTCCTGTCTCATTTTCTTCTGGGATACCTTTTATTATTGCCCTCCAGATCCTCTTGAGGCTTTACATTTTCAATTTTTATTCTTTGCTCTTCAGATTGGATAATTTCAATTGATACATCTATTTTTTTTTTTAAGCTTTTCTGTTTTCTCTCCCTGGCCTAATTTTCTTTCATAAGGACTAAGTGGTTTCAGAGGGGTGTCAGAGCTCAATGGTAGCTGAGATTTGAGGGCCAGAGAGGAGGGGGAGAAGGCCTCCTGGAGGCAAACATGTGTTGTCATTTCTCCAGTGAGAGTTTGGCCCATGGTGGGGGTAGGTAGGTCATGGCACATTCATACCACCAGAGATGGGCAGACAACTACAGGCCATGAAGCCCTGATTGAGAAATGTGAGCTAGAGCTAGAGCAGGCAGAGACGGCTTCCTGCAGGAGGGAGAGGTAGAGGATCCTGGGGTCTGGTAGGTCCCTACTGTGAATCAGGCTCTGGTCTAGGAGCTGTTTGATCGCAGCAGAACTTATAATGCTCCCACCTGAGAACAATTATCCCATGTCATAGATGCAGAAACAGGGGTTGGAAAAGGTTGATGGGACAGAAGGTAAAGCAGCAAGCTGACTCAGTGACCATGAACATGTGACATGGTCACTTCAGGGAAGTCTATCTTGATGGCGCAGGATTTTAGATGTTGGAAGACCAGGTACATCCTTTAAAATTTCAGTCCAAACATTGTCCGTGATCCAGGTTTTTTTCTGGGCCATATTAACCCCACAGTTTGAACCTGCCGAGTCTCTTGTTCCTTCTGCCGTAGTGGGAAGATCCCATCCTGGCTCTGACACTGTCACTGACCAGCTGGGTGACTCTACAACTGAATTCACCTATTCAACAACCTTGCCTTCATTTTGAGTGTGAGGAAATAAAGGCTTGACTTGGATTCCCTGCAGCAACCACGCGACAAAGTGGCGTGCCGTGAAGTTGCGTCAGGCCTCTATGGACTGTTTCCTCATTTCTGTCAAGGCTCCGATCATATAGTAATACAAATTTATTCATTCCTTTTTATTAAAGAAATTTTTTACTTTCTAGGTATGGGGGAATACAGCAGTGAACAAAACATTAAAAAATGCCTCCGTGGCATTTACATCTCACTCCACAATTGCCTCTTTTGATTCAGAGTCTCTGCTTTTCAGCCTCCCTCTTGGCAGCTGAAAACTCTGGGCTGAAATCCCAGCTCTGAAGACATCGAGCTACCCTGCTATTAAGTAACTTAGGTTTCTTGTCAGTGGGGTTGGAATCATTATGGTTGTTTAGAGGCTAGAATGGGGTGATGTGTGTGAGAGGATTGGGCACTGTGTCTGGCACATGGCAGGTATCATTCTTCCTGTCACTCCATAGTGGATAGAGGTTTCTCTCAAGCTTGATATTTTTGGAGTTCTCTTAGCAGTGAATCTGCTTTTTTCTTTTTAAAGCCACACTCAGATGGCACTGGAATGGCCCTCAATCCCCTCTTAGTGGCGGATCACAAGCGACGTTGGTTCTTGCTTTTCTCTTCCCTTCCGTCCCAGGTTATAGCACATCCCAAATCCCCTCACTACTGAAACGCTCCTACCCCATCCTCGTGTGACTTCTAAGAAACTGGTTCTCCGAGAAACAGGTTCTCCTTTGTTCTCCCCGCCCCAAGAGATGGGCAGGCCCCTCTACCCCACAGAGGAAATCCCCCCATTCCATCTCAATTGAAATGTAGCAGGTCCCCCACCATTGCACTGCACCAAGTCTACCCCCTTCCCCCAACCTGCAGACCCCTCCTAACTCACTGTTCTTCTCATCCCTTCCCTGCAGGTTATGGGCACGCCGCACCTGGCACCGACGCAGGCAAGGCCTTCTGCATGTTCTACGCCGTGCTGGGCATCCCACTGACGCTGGTCATGTTCCAGAGCCTGGGCGAGCGCATGAACACCTTCGTGCGTTACCTGCTGAAGCGCATCAAGAAGTGCTGTGGCATGCGCAACACCGACGTGTCCATGGAGAACATGGTGACTGTAGGCTTCTTCTCCTGCATGGGGACGCTGTGCATCGGGGCAGCTGCCTTCTCCCAGTGCGAGGAGTGGAGCTTCTTCCACGCCTACTACTATTGCTTCATCACGTTGACTACCATTGGGTTCGGGGACTACGTGGCCCTGCAGACCAAGGGCGCCCTGCAGAAGAAGCCGCTCTACGTGGCCTTTAGCTTTATGTATATCCTGGTGGGGCTGACGGTCATCGGGGCCTTCCTCAACCTGGTCGTCCTCAGGTTCTTGACCATGAACACTGAGGATGAGAGGCGGGATGCCGAGGAGAGGGCATCCCTCGCCGGAAACCGAAACAGCATGGTCATTCACATCCCTGAGGAGCCGCGGCCCAGCCGGCCCAGGTACAAGGCGGACGTCGGGGACCTGCAGTCTGTGTGCTCCTGCACCTGCTACCGCTCGCAGGACTATGGCGGCCGCTCGGCGGCTCCGCAGAACTTCAGCGCCAAGCTTGCCCCCCACTACTTTCATTCCATCTCTTACAAGATCGAGGAGATCTCACCAAGCACATTAAAAAACAGCCTCTTCCCATCTCCTATTAGCTCCATCTCTCCTGGGTTACACAGCTTTACCGACCACCAGAGGCTGATGAGACGCCGGAAGTCTGTTTAGGTGTGGGGAGGGGAATGGAACAGAAAAGTCATTTGTCATAGTTGATGTTAATTTCCATTGGTCCAACTCGTCTTTTCTTATTTATTTATTCTTTATTATTATTGTCGTCATCATTACTTTCTCTCCTTCCTCCTTTCTTGGTCTCTTGGTCTCATTTGCCCCCACCTTTCCAGCCAGACAGAGCAGGCCAAAGGGAAATACAGGCCCATCCTCCTCTGAAACTCGCATCTGAGCATGAAGCATGGATCTCCTCCTTCCTTCCCAGCAGACTATGCCTTACATTTCTCACCCCACCCACCCCATCTCTGCAGTGGTTTTCCCGGGACAGAGGTGAGACCAAGACCACGGAGACAGAGCTGAGAGGATACCCACCCCAAAGCTGCACACCATGCTCAGAGCCTTCAACCGCCCACCTTAGTGGTGTCTCTGACCTAACTCCTTTCTCTTTTCCTCCTTAAAGACTGAGTGGCTGTGTGTGCGTGTGTTGTGTGTGTGCTTCTGTGTGCACGTGTGTCGTGACAACACGGGAAGTATTAGGTATTCTTTTTTTTTCCATCACACATCATAGCCTGCTTTTGGCTGCTTCCAAACAAAACAAAGACAAAACCCCCCAAGGTTTTTGATTTATCGTCTCTTGCTAAATCAAGCATGTTTCTTAAGCAGTCTTTACCCCTGATGTGTCATGGTCCTACTTTCTAAATGCTAGGTTCTCAATTATATTAATGTTTTTTAGGGGGCGGGTGGGCAGGAAGACCTGGATCATTTTAGCTTGCCAGTTCAAACATTTTTAAAAAGCATGCACTTTGTTAAACTGGTATGCACTATCCACAAGAAAACCTGAGTGGAATCATCAAAAGCCCATCATATTAATTTGTAAGAGACATCTTTAGTTTTCTCACCTCCAGTTCCATCAATTTATCGTGCAACTGGAATTGTCAGGGGACACAGGAAAATTGTTGGGACCAGAGAGTACCTATTTTATTTCCCTCTTATTGATAATTTTGTGCAGCACTTTCCTGCGTAAGAATTATCGTGTTGGAATGCTTGGGCGAGAATGGGTATTAGTATGTGGCTGTGGTTCCTTTTCCTAATGAGAAGTGACAGGGCATTCCTCATTAAAAATACATATCTATTTCAAGAAATATCGTCTCAATTTGCATTTGATTTGTAAATAGGGGAAAGTTGTTCACATTGGTCTCAGGAAGAGTTTAGAGGCAAGGAGCTATATCTTGGCCTACTGGGAACTTGCCAATCTCAGGGGACAATTTTGTCTGAGTAGTGTAGAAATTCCTCCCTGCTCTCAATAGGGTATGAGCCCAAAGGGAAGAGCTGCTATCCTCTTGGGAGGGGGCAGGGGTAGTTCAGGCTGTAGAATATGGCACATTGGAGGCCCTTATAGTAGCAGGAATAAAGGACAGTTTGACCTCCAGATTCACTGAGGGGACTTTAATAATTTCCCTCATTACCATCCCTGCCATTTTCTAAAAATCACCCATTCATCCATCCTCCCATTCCTCTTTTGTAAACCGGAAGTTCATGGCTCTTGCATGGAAATGGACCTTGGCTGTTCTCAGAAGGAGCACGGTTACCTGCCTGTCTCAAGGCCCCAACGAAATCTCCCAGAAAGGAGGCTTTGCTCCCTAGAAAGCGTAGACCTACAGGATTTCTTAAAGGAGACAACACCTGAATGCCACCAGTCCCAAGCATTTGGGCCGATGGGCTGAAACAGGAGCATTCAAGACTCCTCTGAAAAGGCTGTGCATGTACTTTTACGCTACATCCCATGTTGAAATTTCCCCTTCGTCCAGGACACAGGGCCTTCGAAGGAGTCTGCGAACCTCAGATTCTCTAGGCCAAAGTTGACAGTTCTCAACCTTCAAGGTCTTTATCGATTCACTTGTTTTAAGATTGTGTGTTATGAGATGCCCCTACTTGGGGCTCTAAAGTCTGTCCAGAGAATAGCAGTTCTTTTCACTTTTTTTTTCTCTTGGATGAGATTGTCGATTCTATGGGGTCAGAGGTGTAACAGCCCTAATGCATTTGCAGAGTGCTTTATGCTTCAGAAGAGTGTGCCTGGAATAAATGTGGGGCACTCATGAAAACCTTTGTAAGATGTGCCTTCAAATGGGGGGTAGATGATCTATAATGATGCCAAGGCACTGAGAGGATGAGTGATTTGCCCAGTGTCACGGAGCTGGTTGTTGACAGAACTGAGACAGGTGTCTCAGTCTGGAGCCCAGGAGAGTCCAAGGAGCTGATTTCACACCACCGTGTCCTAAGTTCCTTAGCCCTCGGAGGAGGGCGCCTGCCTCTGTTTCCTCACTGGGGACATGCAGCAGGCCCTTGGAGCCAATTAAAGGGACAACGATTCCATCCTGCACACAGAGCTGGTTTCCCCCACTAAAATGTCTGTGTCACATTGGTCCTACGGTAGTCATATTTCTGCTTGAATGCCTCAAGAAACAAGGAGCTCTTCTCTTCCCAGGGAACTATAGAAAACATTTTCTATAGGATTAAGGATTATAGGATGAAGTCTTTTCCTCACCTTATAAGTATCAGAGACAAAATAAATTGCAAGTTGCCTCAATTTCCCTATGTCTTCTCTTTTCTACCAGTTTAGCCCTTTGAAGGATGATCAAGTCTTCTCTTTCAGAGTTAAACATCCGTGTTTATGCTCAAAGTGTTTAGGGGATGGCGGCAAACCTTGGTTTGCTTGCTTGGTGATGTTCCTCTTTTGCTGAGATGGACCATCTCTTCCCTTCTCTGGTCTCTGGCTAAGGAGTGACAGATCTAGACACATCATGAAATGGTCTCAGGGTGGAGGGCAGGTGGCCAAGTTAAGGGTTCAGGGTGTTTTCTTCTCTTGGAGAAACAGAAGTTGGGCATCTGTTTAGTGCTCTACCATTCAATCCATATTAGAATCAGATCAAGTCATCTCACTGAACAGCCTTTATTTTCAGAGCACGATATTGAGGTCTAGAGAAGGTGAACACTCATCTCAAGGTCTCTGAGGTAGAATCTAGATCTTCCCACTGATTTACTATTTTCCTGGTACTTCTGTTGCTGTTTGTAGCCTTCAGAAGAGCTCTTGTTGCTGGATGATTTTAGCTTTTAGCCCCATGTCTCTTTCCCTCTCTCTTATGCCTAGTGATTTCTTTCTTTCATCCAAGTGATTTTCATTCCCTTCTCCCAGTTAATTTTACCCATTCAGCGAGGAGTATGAAATCACAGCCGGCTGTTTGGATGTAGGGTTCAACTTCTGTTAGAATGAGCTCAGGAAGAGCCACATCCTACCAGAATCACCAGCGCTCAGCCCACCAGCCAGTACCTAGAAATCAACATGCCTCGTAGGTTTTTAAAAATATTACTCACTTGAACTCTTTTCAACTAAGAGCTCTGTCTTCATCTTTCCACCTCAAATATAGGAGGAAGGTGGACAGTGGTATTGATGATCCCTAGAACCCCTGGCACACACTTTGTAGAGACCATCCTGCTAGAATCTTTATTGTATCCATCCTGGGTGGAAAGTGCTGTGTTGGCTGTCAGCCTGTCAGACTCTTAAGTAGGAATGAACCAGCCCCTCTGGGTTTTGAGATACTTGGTTATCACAACAGCTAGCATCAGATTCATTCTTTCTACCTGCCCTGCTTCATCTTGGAAACTGCACAGCAGCCCCGTAACCACAGTGAGCTGCCTGGCTCTAAATGTGAACCCTCTTGGAAGCATCTGTGTGCTCCCACGGTGTGTGGCCAATTGTGACAGGAGTGCCTGCATTCAGGCATGGTCACAGCAGCTCATTTGCAGCCCAGGATTCCCAGTGGGTCCATCATCCTTCCAGGAGAGGTAGCAAATGGACCTTGACCACCGCCCACAAAAGCCTCCTTGGGAGGTGCTCATTAAAACCCCACCCATCAAAAGGATGGAGATTAATCTCAGCTCACCTGTTCCTTATCTGTGCACAGGGCCTTAAGAGAACCTCTGGACAGTAAGAGAAGCTCACAGATAAGCCTAGGCAGGTCGCTTTTCTCTGTCTCATCCCTATCTGGAAGCTGATGGGTCCCCGATTCTCAGTGACAATCACTTGCAGCTGGAAGCTGGAGGGAAGAACAGGGTTTCTCAGAGGCCTCCCTTGTCTGTGCACATTGGCCAGGAGAGGGAGGTGAGCAAGGAGAAAATAACCAAAAAAAAAAAAAAATCACAGAGGCTTATGGCTCCATTTCTTTTTGTAATATTCTTTTTAAAATGACAGGCCCCAAGATACCCTTTGAAACCCTCTGCAGAGACGCATGCCCGCATCCTATCAGTGTGCTGGCCCCGGCAACAGTGAAGCACTCTGGCAAACCATGGCTTTGTTCTGAAAGTGGTGTGACTTGGGGTCTGTCCCATACAGGCCATGCTGCCTGGGGGTGTAAAGTGGGTTTCTTCCAGAGTTGTGGCCTGCACTGGACCCTGGAAGCACCCTCAGTGAGGACAGGGTGGTAGGCAGAGGACCTGTCATTGTGCTGTGCTCCACTGAGCTCTTGGAAGTCATTTCACTCCCTGGGCCTCTGAGGCTTCCCCATCTACACAATGAGACAGCTTGGGTGAGATTTATGGGCACTTAGTACAAAACCAATTTGACCCACAAAAGCATTTGGCCTGGATATTCTGACCCTTGGGCACACTTGAAGCTTGAGCCGCCCAGAAGAAAGCCAAAAATCACTTGGTTTGGCAGGGAATGGGGAGCTGAGAAGATGAAGAGGGACAGGCAATGGCAGAGAGTGCCGTGGTTGTCACAAACCAAGGCCAAATGCATTCTGGGTCCCCAGAGCGCTGAGCATAAATCCATTTGATGTGGTTTTTTTTCCTTGACCACACCTGATAGAGGCTGCTGATTCAGGAAAACAGAAACCCTATGACCATGGTCATATGAACTTCTATGTTGAAAATCCCAGAATTAGAGTGAAGAATAGTCTGACGAGCATCTCTTGGCCTCAGTGCCTTGCCACCCTCGCTCCCCCAATTCTCACTCAGATGTTTGGATGATGCGTTAGCATGCCTGCAGCTTTCAGTGGTTCAGCCAAAGAAGAAATTTTATGCCATGAACAAGAGCACTCTCCCAACGGTGCCATTGTCACGCCTAAGAAACGTAGCATTCATACAATATTACTGCCTGATACAATCTGTATGTAAAACCCCAGTTGTACCAAAAATGTCCTCCAAAGCTTATTGAGTCTAAAACACAATCCAAGGTCACGTCCCACATTGCTTGTCCTGTTGTTCCAGACCTCCCCCGAATGGGACATCCTCGTCACCATTTCTGTCTTCATAATGTTGGCCTTCTTAAGGAGTCCCGGTCAGGGTCTTGTAGAATAATGCCCTGTGATCTGCTATGCTTGTTTCCTCTGGTTAAGACACTTTGGCAAGACAGTGGAATTGATGTCCTGCAGCCATGATTGATGCATTTGATGTTTGGCTCTCTGGGGACCACTGTGGTTACTGCTTGCATTGTGGGTAAATAAGTCGTATTAAATGTTGTTTTCCTCTGTTAGGGGAACTAACTGCACATTCAAGAGAGGCGTCCGTGGATGCTGGGTCTCACTGCCAAAGCCGAACATGGCTTCGGGATTTCTGCCTTCTCACGTGGACCTCTGCTGTGCTGGTTGAATGCCACTATTTGTTCCCCTAAACACCCATAGGGATGGTCCAGCTACTCATAGACAGGAAGCCCAGAGAAATGCTTGATGCGAGGGTCCCCGCAAGCCAGTTGGGCTGTTTTGGCACCCGCTCCCCCAGTAGCTCCTCAATGAGGGGTAGAGACTGCCAAGGAATGCCACTATTTGTTCCCCTAAACACCCATAGGGATGGTCCAGCTACTCATAGACAGGAAGCCCAGAGAAATGCTTGATGCGAGGGTCCCCGCAAGCCAGTTGGGCTGTTTTGGCACCCGCCCCCCCAGTAGCTCCTCAATGAGGGGTAGAGACTGCCAAGCCCTTCCACTCATTCATCATCATAAAAATGTAACTTGCTATGGCAGCCTCTTGGCCATTAAGGGCTATACTTTGTGACCTCTGTCCTTGAGATCTTTGCTCTGACAAGTTCTGTAGCCTTCTCAGTGCTGCTGTCATGATGCAGTCTCCCTGCTGTGGCTAAGTAACCTTTCTTTTTGATCGAGATTTGTCCATGCAGACTCCCACCTCTGCACCTCTGCCCGTGCCAGTCCCTCGACCTGGGAGGTCTCCCTGTTGCTCTCCAGCTTTGAGGTGGAGACAGAGCATCTCACACCTCCTTTTGCTGTCTTGTGACCCTTTTGCTCCCTGATGGACTTGACGATGTCCTCTTCTGGGGTCCCCCAGTTCTTGTTTTGGTCATGCGTGACTGCACCCAGCGAGCAAACCTTCTGTGGCCCTGGCTACAGGAACAGCAAGCGATGGGCAGTGCCTTGGAGGGAAGGACCATCTCGAGAATAAAGGCACTGAGATGTGTGGCCTCTTGCCAAAATGGCCACTCATCACCGTGACTGAGGCATGTCTTAACTTGCTGAAGTGGAAACAGGGTAATTCAATGCACGCTTCTGCTCCATCCCTGGAAACAGATCCAGATCTATGAGAAGAAAACTGGACCTCATAGCATTGGCGATTCAACAGCACCTGCCCAGCGGGGTGGCACGTGCCCCATACAACAGGGCTGGAAGCTGCCACACCAGGCATCTCTCATAAGGTGGGTGACAGATGGCACCAGCCTCCAGGAGCACCGTTGCGATGTGTCACCCTGAAGAAGTTGGGCCCCGTGATGGGAACATCATCAGGAAACTGGGTCTGCACCGTTTTCTTGTGGCAACACCTCTGGTAGAGGCTGTGAGGGGATGGGGACATGCATCGTGAGTGACTCAGGATCCCCAGCCTCTCTGGCCTGGCACCTGCCCACCCCTAGAGCTCTGGGCCTTGAGAGAGGCAAATGCACACTCTTCTCACCTCCAGAGAGCAGCGTGGGGGTGTGGATGCTGCTCAGGCCCTGGCATCTCGTACGCCTGGGACCGGCCTCTGCCATTCACAGGTGGGTGGTGGTTTTGCCTCTGAGCTTCAGTTTCCCCACCTTTAAACTGGAGATTGTACATAGCCCCTACTGCAAAGGGTGCCTGTGAAGACTAGATGTGAGGTGATGGCATTTAATGTCACCTGCTCTCTGCCAAGCACCCTGCCTGTGTTCTCATACATGTTTGCATTTCTCATAAAGGCAAGGCCCATGTCTCCCAGAAGAATTTACTCCTGGGGCATCGGACTTGAAATCCAACTATGAAAAAAAAAGTGATCAAGTCTGGTTGAGCAGCTCAGGCGGGCTTCATAGAGGAGACGGCTTTTGGAAATCATTGAGGCGAGCTTTAAAGGAGCAAGTGAGTGCTATTTTAGGCACAGGCAAAGGCATGGGCCAAGGTGCAAGGGTGTGATAGTGCAGGGGGCACAGATTCCATCCCACCATTGGTGGAATCCTGCCACACCTGGGAGAGATGAGATACCATAAATCTCAAGACCCCCTACAAGCTGGCCACATCTAAGTCCTTCAAGCCATTCTTCTGCTCCAGAACCTTCCATGGCTCCCTAGTGCCCATAAAGTAAGTTGATGGTAAAGTCCTGCACTCTAACCAACCACAGCCACAGCCTCAGGCTTTCAGGGAGGCACTATCCATCTACATGTCCCTTCTGGGTCCTCCTCCCATAAAATTCCAAATAGACCTGGAGTCTCACCAAACTTGAATTCTATGGCATCCTCTTGTTTGTGCGGGGTTTTGTTTGATGGGAATTTTTCCGGGTAAGATCTTGGTCTTTCGCTGAAGCATCCTAGGACTTGTCCTGATGAAATCTTCTGCCAGCCTCACCAAAGACTAGCATGAAACAAAAGGAAAATGCTGTATAAAATAAGTTCTTGAGCTTACCTGGCATGAAGAACTTGTTTCCTGACTGATTTCATGATCAACAGTGGTCATGACTCCCTGCATCTCTGGCCTCTGAGACTGAATCTGGCTAAGGCCTTGTGGGCACTTGCTCATCTCACCCCTAGGAGATGAGGCCTCTCTGTGGGATTTGTCACCCAGCACAGGGTCCTCTGAGGGTGTCAACAGAAGATCCGGGAGTGCCTACTGTCGTGGTGAGTGCTGGTGACCCTCCAGAGGTAGCAGTTCTTGGTGGGAAGCTCTGGGTGCAAAACTGTCCCCACCAGGACTTACAAATATGAGCTTGACTTTGAGATGAGGCCTCTGGGTGGTGGAGGCTGAGGGAGGCAGAGGCTGTGGTGGGGGTGGGATGGTGTATAGGAAAGAAGTCTAGGGAACATGGGTGGAATCAAGACTCAGACTTTGTCTTGATTTGCTGTGTGACCTAGGGAATGTCATTTCACACCGCTGGACCTGAGTTTTCTAACTTCCAGACTAAAGAGTCTGGCCAAGCTCCCAAGGCCCACTCCACCCCGCCCCAGTGTCTGCCATGGACAGGACACCAGTCTGGGGAGGACTGGCTGGGCTGACTTTAGCTGTATTGGAAAATCTTTTCCCAGACACCTTCTGCTGGAGTTGACTCTCAGATGCTTTGTTCTTAATGACATATGGATCCTTAATTAACTAACAGCCCCATGCAATCTTTGCTTAATTTCTTGGTAGGCTCTCCTCCCATCCTCACCACATGAGGTGCCCTGCTCTAAAGGAAGAAAGCCTTAGCCAACTGAGCTGTGAGTCATCAATATCTGCAGAGCAGCCCGCAGGCCTGGCCCCTGGAACTCACCCTTCCTGGTGAAAGAGGGGCATGCCTCTGCCCAGCATTTACCTTCAGGCTCGGCTTGAAGCAGCCATTCCACCCCTGCCCTGTGTCTTCCTCTGGGTTATCCTTCTCCAGGGGTCTCTCTGCTTCTTGGGAGAATATGTCCCCCCACCCCCTGCTGAAGCCCACTTGGCCAAGCAGAGAGCCTTGCCTCAGGTCAGCTCAGCTGGGGTCCAAACCTCAATTTCAGCCTCTTGAACTTACACGTAATGTAGCACTGTGCAAGTGAAGATGTTACTTCCCACTGGGACACTTACTTTTCATGCTGGGTGGCAGTGGCCAGAGCACTTTCATCTGGCATATGAGGTAACAGGGCTCAGAAAAGTGGCAAATCTGGAACTCCAAGTCAGGTGTCCTGACTGCACACTTCCAGGCACCTATCCTGAAGCTCACAGGTCAGGAAAGGTCCCTCAGATTGCCATAAGGAAAGGACATAGATGGTGGCATAGCTCAGGAGGAGGGAGGAGGTGTCATCTCCAGGTCAAATCCATACACGGGGGTTGGGGCAGGTGGTGGGCATTTCACAGGGGCAGGCATCAGAGAGGAAGCAGCACCAGAAGAGCATGGTCAGCCAGAAGAGCATGTGCTGAGTCTGCTGGTTCCTTCACCCAGTTCAAAAGCCCAGCCCTGTTCAGCACCATGGACAAATCCATAAGCTAAGAACCACGTTCAGAGGAAGCCTTTGGTTGCTATGAATCACACAGACCTTTGTGCGTCTTTTCTTCACAACAGTGGCCCCCCAGAGGGCAGACCTGAGACCAGCAGTAGTGGGTTCTCTGGCCTGAAGGGTGGGCTAGTGGACCTCAGCTGGGTACAGTGTGCAGTACATTGTATAGAATGTGGCATCCCCTGTGCAGGGCAGAGGGCTCTGTGCCGGGGGTGGAAGAGCCTCTGCTGAACCCTCCCACACTGTGGTGTGACCCAGGCTGGGTGTCCCTCCTGGGAGGCAGATCTGAGGAGCTAGAGAACACAGTGATGCTCAAACATGTCATCTGGCAAACGTGTCCCATCTGAGCCTTCGTTTCCCCATCTGTGAAGGAAGGATCTGGAAGACAGGACTGTCCTGGAAGGATTGGGGGTGGAAACCCTTGTTCTGCAGATGCTGGTGTGAGGAACCATCCACAACACTGGGCAGGAATCTGGCCCCAGGGCATGCCTGGGTTTTGTCTGAAGCTTTGTGTGGGACTCTCAAGTTGGCAGGGAATCTGGAGTTGGTGGGGAGGCGGGGTGGCAGGGCTTGTCCTTGTCACCAGCATCTCCCTTACCACAGTGACAGTTGGTCCTGGCAGCTAAAGAGTACAATTGGAAAGACAGAAGGGGGAGTCAGTTCCTTGGAGCCATCTTTGCATCCAGAGAGCAGTGCTTGATTTAGAGGAGGGAGGCCTTGTAAGCTTCAGTCATGAGTCTTGGCCTCTGAAAGACTGAGCTCTCAGTCTTGCCTTTTCTGGCCACCAGGCACTGGGTGGTATAGACGTTGGGGGCCTTCCTAAGCACTCAACCCTGGTTCCCTTCCCTCCTCATTTGTAATAGGACCACTTGGACTTGAGAAGTAACTTATCCCCCACCCCCCCACACACACAAAAGATGAAATGGCCAGGTGAGATGAGAGGCAGGTGTCTCCCAGGCAGAGACCAGTGAGGATGAAGTGACATAGTATGGTCACATACTGGACTCTGACATTTTAATGGAGGAATTTGGAGCGATGGGGCCCAGTCTTTCCAGCATTGGGCTGGGTTCCTACACAGGGTCCACATCCTCTCCCAGGGACATCACCTGTTTCAGGTAGGTAGTTCTATAGACTTCCTCTCCTCTCACTGGAGACTCTCCCCCCACCCACTGAGCCCTTTTAATCCTTCTGATGGATTCTCCCATAAGATGGGGTCTCTGATAAAACAGCTCCCAATCCCCAGTAAAGCAGATGGCTGGACAGTGGTGTGGGATGGGGTATGTTCCAGGGAACCAAAGTCCGCATCTACCAGATGATGCTGCTATGAGGTGTCAGCTGCCCCATCCATGGGCCCCAGCAGCTCCCCAGGGCTGCCTTGTGCAACATGGGCTGTTGATTCAGCCATTTCTCCAGCCACTGTTGACTGAGTGAGCTGAGCATGTGCTTGCTGCGGACCGGCCACAGTAGGGGCTGCTGTGGCTAGCTAGACCATCAAGTCCTTGGCTTCATGGGACTAAGATGCCAACAGACCACAGCTTCCTTGATGCGCGGAGTCTGGAGGCAGGGCCAAGGAACAGAAACGGGAACTAGAACAAGCCTCAGCAATGGTTTTACTTTCTCATGTGGAATTTTAGAAGTTGGGTAGAAAATAAAAATATGAAAGGAAAAACACAATTAGTGGGAACCCAGTGCAGTAGAACCCACAATTAACAAGATTTCTCTATAATTTGATAGCTCCTCAGAGGAAGACACTCCTGAAAAAGGCTAATTATATATGTTTGTTCAGCCCACAAATAGCATTTTGACAGTCATTGGGGGGGGGCGGGGGGCTGGAAAGGACGTTATGAGATCGTCTCAGTTCACCCTCTGCTCTATCAGAAATCTCCACTAAATAGATATTGCATTGGGTTAGGTGAAATTGTTTTCATTGATTCAAATGTAAATAAGGGAACAGATTAGCCCCACTTGGGAGATTTGAGGATATCAGGTATATCCAAAGATGTTGATAAGGGGGTTTGCAGTTAGACATAGAGACACGGGACAGAGACATCAAAGATGAGTAGAATTTCAACCACTGAATTAAGGAGAAAAAAACTTCTAGTCCATTCCCAGCAGGCCAAGAAATTGCTGATAATCCCTCTTAGATGTACAGTGTTTTTGAATTCAGCCAACTGTGTATCCTTGTGCTTTAAAACTTCAAAAAGAAAACTTGTCATTTGTGACTCCTGGCATAGAAGAAATTAAACTTGAATTAGTTCCGAATTCACACCCATCAAAACGATTGGCATATAATCCTGGGGTGCCTCCTGGGGAGGGTGGGGTATAGGGATATGGGCTCTTGTGAATCTATTTGGGGTATGTGTGCGCGTGTGCATTGACTGGCTATCTGTGGGTCTTCGGATTTTTGTGTTCCTCCTCTCCACACCCCCAGCATTGCTGGGCATTTTTGTGACTGTGCAGTAAGGGGACCTGGATTTGGTTCTTATGAAGATGCTACTGGAGGCCTGCCAGAGCACTCCCTGGGGAGGGAGATGGAAGTCAGGAAAGTTCTAGCAGAAATGGGCTTAGTGACCTTGGGACTGTTTGTTCACATTCAGGAGGATGGGATGTTTGGTTCCGGACCCCTAGCAGGGACCCACCTTCCTACCTTGGTGAATGGGGTTTGAACAGGTCCTATTGTGGTCAAGGTGTCAAGGCCTTTGGTGGGAAGCTGTATCAGATCTGGCAAAAATCAGCCATTCAAACTCATGCACAGAGAACCAAATTCAAAAGGAGCCTGCTGCTTCTGTTTGTTTTATTTTGTTCATCTTCTCTGGCCTTCTCTGTCTGTGGAGACGGCACCTTCACAAATGGCCTTAGAATGCTGTTCTGAAGTTCAACAGAATGAGACAACCATCAAATGAATAGCAGAGGTATCTATTTTCACAGCTTACCTGATTAAATATTTAAAAATCTAGTCACCAATGTTTACAAGTCCAAGCAGACATCCAGCCCATGTAGAATATGTAACTTACGTAAGGGTTCGCATCTTTCTTTTGTAACGAGTGTGGTACGCAGCCCTGTATATATTTTACAATGTCTTTACAGAAAAATCATTTAATGTGGTGTTGTACAATAATGCACTTTTCTAATTTTTTTCCATTAAACTCTCTATGGCACGTTTACAGATGTGTCTGGGTCTTTTTTCACTAGGAAAGGTGGGACAAGATCTTTGATGCCACCTCTTTCTGCCTGTAAACTGCATTCTGAAAGCAGAAAGCATGGTGGACCACCCTGGCTGTATGCCCTGCTTGCTCTTGATCTTCCCCTTTGTCGACGGGCCTGCTCAGAGGCCTTTCCCCTAACCACCTTGGTACAGTAAGGAATTTGTCTTAAAATACAAAACTCTTCTTGAACCTTATGTGCTGACTCAGTGATTTTGAGTCAGTGATCCAGCTTGAGCTGGATCCAGGAGATGAGCACCATTTCCAGGAGGCAATGAAACCAAACCAAACAGTTCAACCTCAACTGAACTGAGACCAGCTTTGTGCATTTTTGTTTTTCTTTTGTGGCCAAGGAATCTGAGTGCAAAAAAATGCGACAAACCATGCTGCCCTTTTTCACCGGTGTGTATCTGGACACAAGAAGGGAAAACCAGGCAGTTCACAGGTGCTCAGTGTTCTTTGTATCGAGGCAAATTTGTTCCCCCAGCTCCATAGGAGATGCCCAAGTGTTGGGGCTCCTGAGCCTCCGCCTGGAAGGCTCATGAAGACAGGTTTCTGGGATGTTCCCTCAATCTGGGTCTAGGATAGGGCGGAGAAGGTGTGTTTCCAAGGAACAGAGGTGATGCTGCAAGCTGCCGTTTCAGAGATTAATGGGAGATGCAGGCCAAAAGCAGACCATGGCCACAGGTCCTGTTCCTGAACCTGACCACACAAAGCCAGGCTGCTTTCAGCCTGTCTTGGAGGCCATGCCACTTTTCCCTGCTCACCTACTCAGCTCTGTTTGGCTTTCCCCAGTGCCTACCCAGGGCTCATCCAGGAAACAAGTGGACTTGAGCTCTGGTAAGAACTATAACTCTTAGTGCTTGAGGCTAAATTTACATACAGAGAAAACATGCCTAGGTGTTCCATTCTCTGCATTATGACTTGGGGGTCTTAAATCCTCTTAAAATGTAAATAAGGACAGATTGCTTTCTCTGCTCAACTTTTCTGTGGATGCCTGGGATAGAAGCCAAGCCCTTTCTACCAGTCAGTTTTGCTCCCATCTACCTGCCCAGCCTGTGCTCTCCATGGCATGCAGATGTGCCCACATGGCCCCCTCACCTGCTCTGCTGTTACCTATACCAGCAGCTCTTTTTGACCCCACCTCCTCCCATCCCAGTGTCTCTGCTCAGATGTGACCTTCTTGGAGGGCACCTCTCCAGCCTGCTTTCTCCCTTAGCACTGATCACCATCTGCTGCCACAAAACATTTGACACACCTATTGTGTCTCCCCCAGGGAGCATGAGCCCCATGAGGGCAGAGGGCAGAGATTTTCACTTGCTTTATTCATTCATGGCTCTACTCAGAGCCACATCTGCAGGCAATAGTCCTTCAGCATTCCCTGAATGCCGAAGTGATGGGATGAAGTCGGAGTCTGTGCCCTGCAGAGCCTGTGAGCCTCTTGCATCCTTCTTCTTCCTCTGCTCCCTCCTACCCCAAACATTAGTCTCCCAGCCTATACTGGCCCTGAGGGAGAACCTCCTGGCTCAGAGATGGATCTAAGGTCCCCAGCACCATGAGCTCAGAGAGGCTGTGGGACCATCCAACTCATGAGGTAGGGCCTGTTGCTAAACCGCATCCTGGGGTTCCAGTGGCTCTAAGAACGTGGACTGGGGACCCAGAGCAGGGCTGGCTCTTGGTTTATGACCTAAGGCAATTTCTATTTCTTTTGTCTTTGGAAGGCAGTGTGCATCTTTGGTGAACCAGGTTAGTGCTTCCTAAGAACTCTGCTTTCCGGAATTTTCAAGTGGTAATATAGTTGAGTTGCTTTCCTGTATTTTCTATTATTTTAGCCAAGGCCCACTCAGCTCAGAAGGATACTCAGGACAGTCGTGGATAAGGCAGTTTCGAGTCCCTGGCTAATCAGGGCAGCATCCGCAATTTCCTTTTGCTCCCTTATGAGAACTCTGTGCAATCAGAACACCTGAGGTTCTAACCCCACACATCAGCACTTTCCTATCTGCCTGCCCCTGCCCGCCCCCCCCGCTTGTCATTCCATCCAGACACAAAGGGGCTTATGCCACTGCCCAAATGAGGAATCGGGGCAAGCATGAGACTTCAGCGTGTATTCCAGGGGATTTTCATGGCTGTCGTTGTTATCGCCATGCACCTGTTAATGGAAATAATGACCACTTAAAATAGAATGCTTTTCTGCACGTCTTGGTTTGTTCCCACATTATGTGGTTAGATTTTCACTAAGTTCTGTGTAGGGTCCCTTTGGAATGATCTGGCAGGAGCTATAGGAGCACACCACAGCAGGAATATACAACATAAGTGAGGTCCCTGAAGAGGACACCTGAGGAAAAAGCCATTATATGCTCTAGGGCAACTGAAACCATGGTAACAAAGAGGTCGTGATTGGCAGCGATAGGCTACCATGTAAAAATGTGAGGTCTCACTTTCTGCAAGTGGGAAATCCTATCATTAAGAGCCGCAACAGGTGTTCCAGCTCGCAGGGGCCGATTGTCAATGAAGCTCCTTCCCATGTGAGCACCTTGTGGTATATTCCAGAATGAGCAGTATCAGAACTTTGTTTTAGGATTAATGATTCTCACAAGCAACCCAGAAGGGTGAGCCCTACCTTTTACTGTCCCTGTGTTCTTGGTCGCTTTACTTATCCTGCAAGTGGTCAAGTAGACTTTGTTAAATAAGACACAGGAGAGCACCTGTCCCAAGCAGTTCCTGTCATTGTGTGGCAGGCATTGAGGGCTTATGTCTTTTTCCGGTAATAACTCAGAGCATTTCCTAAAATGCGTTCCATGGCATCCTGGTCCTATAAAGCGCCCCCCCCCCCAAAAAAAAAATGGAACATGCATTGCTGCATTCTAAGTCCCTTTTGTGCAGATTTACAACCCACACCACAAGACATCTCACAGCATTTACTATCCTGAAGAAAAAAATGGAACCTGTTTTTCCACCCCCACCCCCACCCAACACCAGTGGCATTCATCACCACCCCCTCCCTACATGCCTGTGATCAGTAAGGCTGTGCAGCAGCCCCTCCCATCTCTGCACCCTCCAGGCGTGGCAGAATTGCACTTCCCGGTCCCCTGGATGGGTGCAGTCATGTGATTAGTTCTGGCCAATGAATCATAGGTGAAGCAGCACAGATCACTTCCCGGCTGCAACCTGAACTGTTCGAGACCCTCCAGGACTTTTTCTTCTGTCGCATGGACAGGCAAGTTTCAAGATAGTGGCTGCTAAGCCCAGGTCCTGAAGAGAGGAGGTAAGGTGAGGACTCCCCAGCTGGCCCACGGTGGATGCACATGGTGAGAAAAAAACCTTCAAGCCACTATGATGTAGGAATTGTTCAGCCTATCCCGACTGCTCCAGGTTTGTTCCTGGGGACACTTCCTCAGGTGGTTGGTGCCTGATACATCAGGTTCATAGTATCTGGGAAGATGTTGTCAGCCAGTTGTTGACTCAAACTTTAAAGAGACCCCTTTAAGAGGGGTCTCTTTAAAGAGCCTCATACAATAAAATCTTACATCAGGAGCAGGGGTTCTTAATTATCTGGGTTAAATCTTGCCCACTCCAGTTTCATCCTCATTCAGGGACTTACATATTTTTCCATAGAGCCTTTTCCATTTTAAATGTGATTTTCACTTTCAATTCTTTGTGTTTCCTCCTTTAAACAGGACTGTGCAGGTGGCCCCATCAGAGGGTGGTGACAGCTGTCTCCTTCTGTAAGTGAGGAAGCCTCATCCTTCCTTGGATCCTCAGCATCTCTTAACCAGCTGCGGCAGAGGTCGAATTAGAATGGCACCAGCTTTGGATAAAAATCCAGATCTCGTTTTTCAAAACGTGTCTAGAGCTGGTGGCTGTAAGGAACCAGTCAAGCCTCAGCTGTGATTCTAACCGGTTCAAGTTCACCTGAGAGCCCAACTCACTCAACCAAAGAGAACACAGTTTGGATGGAGCTCAAGGTGCATGGCTGGCTGGCATAGCCTGGACAACCTCTTAAAGGCCTGGCTGCAGAGATAGAAGATCTGTCCCTCAAGTTGGGGATATCACCTGAGAAGTTCAAGTCCACTGCCTCACAGCTCAAACGAGTCAGCCTTACCAGTCAAGAATTGTGCTGATAAACAGACTCAGAGCCTGTGCTCATGGTGTTGCCCATCTGCAAGTGTCTCAGCTGGCCCTTCTGTAGGGGATTGGGGAGGGTCAGTGCTCTCTGGGGCGGGGACTGGGTCTGTTTCCAGGCTCAGTGCCTCCGAGTCATACAGATACTAGGTGGTCCTGCTGCTTACCCTCGCTAAACCTCAGGCTTCTCGTGTAAACAGGGCACTTTTGAGGAATTATTAACATCTCCCTGTGAGTCAAGGCAACTACCGAGATCATGTATGTAATGCTTGTAATAAATGCAGCTATGTGCCAGGCACTCTGAGACACTGCCTTTGTGGTTATTTTTAGTTCAGCCGTATGCGTGCCAGAACACATTCCTGTTGGCTGTGAGTCTACCATGGAAAGTGGCTTCTAGGGTGTTCATTTACCTGGGACCTGCCCCTTTTTGCTGGTCCTTGCGATAACCCAGATTTCTGCCAGGGTACAGACCTAGAAGCCCCTGGATGAAAGGGAGGCCTGGTGCCCTTGAGGAAGGACCCTGGTCATACTGCCACACATTTATCCTATGAATTTTTCTCATAGCCTTCCTCGAAGGCAGCTATGGCCATTTACCAGGGAGACAGTGCACTGAGAGCAAGGAGAAAGATCAGACTTTCTGGGGACTGCCAGACCCTGGCTCTGGACCGACACTGATTCCCGGAGACCTGGATGTCACTGTGGTCTGACAGTCAGAGTAGGTGATTATGGAGTGGGGTGATCCATGGAGTTGTCACTCAGGTCCATCTCAAAGCAGGCACTGTGGGTCTCCCAGTCCATCCTGTGGCTGCTGGCCAAGTTCTGAAATGCATCATTGGAAC